TCCCACAAATGTTGGAGTAGTTGTTTCTTGGTAATCACCCATAACCGACGCTAACTGCTTGTCTGGTCAGACCAATGCCACCTTTGTCTACCCATCTTGTTGCCTTATTGTGTCAATGTGTCAAGCCATGCTCAGCTCATCGCTTGGTATTCAATGAATGCAAGGAATGCTCCCTAGCCTATCCCACGACCATGCATTGGTTGCCTCAAGTGCCCACCATGTGCTGCCTCCCTCAGACATTTGTGGGCTTCCATAGCGACAGGTCCCACAAATGCGACAGTCCCACATTTTCTTGGGGTTCCAACTTGCTTGCCTTGCCTAAACCCGTGCCAAGGATCTTGGTATTGTGCCTTGCTTTTGTTTGCCAAGGCTCAGCTGCATAGGGGTTATCACGCCCAGGTGCCCTAAGGGACCCTTCCCCCCCCCCCCTCCCTTTTTCTCTTCCTAGCATTTGACATCAAGGAAGATGGGAATCATAATAGTATTTACGAAACTATTGCTGATGCACCAAACTTAGTTTTTTTGCACGATTGGCCTACTGATAAGCCCCGTTGGCTACATGACTGTGCACAGTTCAACAACCGAAACACCCGATCACTACTGACATGATTCAAAAAACTAAAAACACCCACACTACCAGGCTTCCAAGTATTTTAAGAGCCGTCACACACACATTGGAGTTGCTCAGCCAAGAACACTCTCACTTTGACATTGGCATGGGGCAGCATTCAACCAAGGCTAAATAGATTTGATCCTCCCCAAACGTTGTACTGACAAAAGTCTCATGCATTGGGCTGCTCTTTTTTTACTAAGCGATTACAAAAGGGTAAGCATTATGAACAAGAATTGTGCATTTCACATGCTAGATTCCTGTGTGAATCAAAATGACTTACACAAATAAATGTATGTTAATAATAAGAACGTAGCAACCAATCACAATATTGTGTCCCTCAAAACCTTGTGCCAATAATAGCAATTAAACAGGCACAAAGAAAGGATCCATTCATGGCAACTATGGTTTGTATGTTAAGGTATCCAAGAAGTGTCAACCACTAGTCTGAAATTAAGAATTTGATTTTTAAATTATGGACACATCTAAGATGTGACATGCGCATGAGTGTAAGTCTGAGAAGAGTATCCAGTTGATGCCCAGCATGGATGTCTTAATTTTAAGTTCAACACTTCACCATTTCCTTCTGAGACATTTAAGAGAAGGCAAAAACGCAATTTTCAAAAAGCAGATGCCACTACTCAAATCTCTCCGGTATATCCAAGCTATAATAGTCTATCCGGTTGTGTTTAAAGAGGAAGCTAAACTGCTGTTCCTCTTAGTAAAAAAAAGCCAAAGTTTCTTCTTTGACTAGAAAACAAATTTCAAGATTTTCAGGCAAGAATGGAGGCTCAAATCCCTTGCTCGAATTACTTGGGAAACACTTTTTGAGAATCTCCACGAGGGATTGGACAATTCACCCTATCGCAGTAGCTGCCACCATTAGCAATAGCACACTATTGCTCCGCCACCCCTTGCCATTAGTTCCACCAAGATCATTGCCTACCCAAATCACTCACTTCCACCATAACCCCCACCACCACTACAACCACTACATTGGTGCCAATACTGCAGGCAACACCATCTGTTACCACAATCACAAACACTATAAACATTGTTATCACCGTGCATGACCATGTCATTGCCACCATCCCCAATGCTACATCACCACCACACCTCAACCACCTTGTCTTTAACATAAAATTACCCTAATGTAAACACTACTATACTGTTCCTGTTCCATTTCCACCACAATTGATGTCAAATTGCACCCACTGTCGCCTTCTCTATTATAGCAACACTGGTCATCTCTGTCATAGCTGGTAATTAAGGTCATGATTTACCAACATTGTCAAAGCTGTAAGTCTCACCATCGTCTTCCTCACCACCCTTAACCACTTTAATAAGTACACAATTTCATGCTGAAGCATATTTTATTCCCATCAGTTTAGACCTTGGGGGTACTTGCAATTTTCTTTATAGCAATGTCTCGTGTAACACATTCCACCAACATCTTGACCAACAATATCTGCAATGATATGACATCTGTCAAGTTTCATCCTCTCCTCGTGACAATCAAAGCCCCCCGTTATCCAATATCTTGATCATAAGATGATGGATGCAGCACACGTGTAGCACAGGAATTTCTAGACAACAGGAACTTGTTAGGTTTAAATGTTGATTAGAAAGCTGAAGGCTCGCAGATTGGAAAGGATTAAATTTGGGCCAGATGTGGAGTTTTGGCACCAATAAAGAGGTTGTTCATGGCCTGTGAATAGTAACTTTAGGAAAGAAGGAGCAAAGGAGAAGAACAATAGTAAGAATGGTCTAGGGACCTTCAGAATTCTCTTGAAATAATTCCCTTGGGTATGGTTGCACCATATATTCGACATTCATAAACAAAGAGGGCAAAACATGTCACATACGCAATATCGTTGTCTCACTAGTGCAACTCTTTTCATCATTGTACAAGTTCAAACCATCTTAATCAGTTCTCTCCTAATTTATCTTTCGTCTATTATATTGCAGTCCCACAGTTGTACTCATTTCTGATTCCATTTGTTGTCTTACTACACATCAATCTCACAACTAACTCATTTTACGAATATGTGCTTCCTACCAGCCCAACATTAAAATAAACCATGAAATTAAACCTATAGTATCCAAATTCCCCCAAAAAAATATATAATTACTGGTGAGAGGAGATAAAGACTCACAATATAAAATTAACTTCATATTCCTGTTATTGGAGGTTTCGAGAGATCGTCGTGGTGGTGTTCAGCTTCAAGAACAGGGAGCAGTTCCAAAGAGAGGAGTAGGAGGCAATTGTTATCTCCATTGGCTCAAAAAGTCAGAGAATCATAAAGCCTCTCAAACATAGATTAAACACTCAAATGAGGGAAAAGACAGGAGGCACCGTAGGACCGAGCTTAGGGGTGGGGTGGGGACAGATCTGCCAATAGCAGTAAAGAGAGAACTAGTTAGATTAAAAGGGGTCTGTGTAAGGTTAGAGCAGTAAAAGTCACCAAAAGTCTTTCCTTTCACTCGTGCTATGAATGGCTTATGGCATTTAATGTGATAAAAAACGAGCATGGCAAGCTACTCGTGCTCGGCTCAGGCTCAGCTCATATCTTAAATGAGCCTGAAAATTTGTTGAGATTCTGCTCTTATTAGAAAAAAAGAAGCTGAAAACGAGTCAAGCCCAAGCCAAACCAGAGCAGCTCAAATCGTTTAACAGTCCTATCACAAGATCCCAAAAACTTGTGGATTTGGATTCCCATCTAAAAAAAATAACAGGAGTCATTTTCCAAGAGAACAACCCACAGCTTATCCTGCTGTGAATCAATAGCGAAAATAGAGCTCTTAATTATATTGACCATCAACCCTGAAATCAATTCAAAAACTTGCACTCTGCAGTGAGAGGGAAGAGTTGTAAACTTGCACTGTGGATCAACTCCCTTCCCACTGTTGGGTCCTAAAAACTTGCACTAACGTCCTCTAATAGCATATTCTTTTCAGCTTCTGTCATATCCGTAAATCACATATTATGCCCGAAGCATTTCTTCGCTCAAGTCAACCAGCTTTACATAATATGAGCAACATCATCTCTAAATGTTGGTGATGCTCCATCTACAACAATACTACTAGCATATTAGTGTATAATATAAAAAAAATTAGGTTTAAATCCATCCAAAACATGATAAGAATGGCCTTAAACATGCTCCAAATGATATTACCAATTAGCCTTTTTCTTCACATCATTGCTATGCATCATCATGAGTTAGTTACTGATGCACCACTTGTCCATATGTACCTAAACTCTAGAACAATGCAAGTCAACCCTTATGTTTGAAGTCCATGGCAAACTATACTATCAACAAATCTTTAGATGTCACCCTTACATGGTAAAATTATTTATATTTGACCACGTTCATTCATTCATTTATTCTATTATTTTTATTTTAAGTAGAAGGGCTAAAGAAGACAAGAAAATGTCCTGAAAGGTACTAAAGCAGAAGAAATTGTACAAAATGATTCACAACTGAAAGGTTAAGCCAAGGATGTTATTACAGAAGATAAGAGGAAAAATGCACGTGCTTGAAAAGTAAAGTCATGCACATGACTGATAACTAGGAAGCATTCCGGACTGCAGTGACTTTAGGGGTTAAGAATTTACCACTGATGCACAAGCTTCCAGTGTTAAAGGCCAGGCTACCAATATGCAATGAACATACTAAAAGCCTCTGAGATGACTTTTCAACAAAAACTACAGCCAAAATAATTGATATTCAATTCAAAAAACAAGTAGGAAAATTTTATGGAGCCCAATTTGTAGTCAATTTGAGGAAATGTCCATGGGAAAAACGAAAATAAACATCTATGTAGCATTATAGAAAGATTTATTCCACTGTACATATTAAAGTTGGTCATGTCCAACGAAAAAGTTTTAACTTGAATGCTTGTTTGGGCATGAATATGAGAGTCCTTTTAGCTAGAAGAGTTTAAATTGCATCATTGGTCCTAGTAGCCATTGTTTCGCGTCTCATTATTCTTTTCCATTATTACTAAAAGCAACAAAGAAAAAGATGTTAGCATGAACAAGACAACTGTTTAGTTGAGTTAACAAAAATAAATAAATAATGGTGGCAATGCAGATTTTCTTGCTCCTTTTGTACCATAAAATAGCAAACAATGAGTTCAGTATATGGTGTTCCTACTCTTTCCAAATCAAACAAACAGCAGAGTGTTTCACCTGTTTGACAAAACTCAAAATGATAACGGGGATATCAAACTAGATCATCTCCTTTTGGAAAACAATATCTAAGTACGTAATACATGAGATGTTGACTCTTAAGACAAAAACATCGTAAGGGACCAAAAAAGTTGAGTAGCAAAAAAACCAAAACCACAATCTAAGCTTTCTTGACATGAACAAACACTTATTCTTGTATCACATTATGACTACAACAGACGCACTGTGGAAATCAGGGAAATTGAAATATAGTCCCTGTGAAAGAAAAAAAGAAAACCAGCTGACCTCCATTTAACATGTCCTGGCAGTTACCTTTTATTCTAACCTATAAAACAAGATGATGTACCTTCAACCATTTAACTGAGAAATTCCGCCCATAAAGTGCACTTCCATGTGCATACTTCCAGTTCCCCCCACTGACAGAGCCGCCAATTCTAGATGTCATCTTTGCACAACCCTAGAAACATAAATGAATTCATACTGAAAACTGCATCTAATGCAAAATGTGAAGTTTTATACAAGATGGAGTTGTCTTAAATTTTAGTAAGATCAGCGGAACATCGGTTGCAAAACCACACAATTTGCACAACATACAGGCTGATAAATCTTCAACCTACCTGAAAATGCTGGGTCCGGTTGACCGAAAATATCAAAATAACATTTTCCACAGAATCAAAAGCCTCATTTAGTTTAGCTTCATTGTTCCGTTGAGTTGCCCACACTCCTTGTTGTACCGATAATTCTAAATTCTCACGGTTGCAACTTTTGACTACAAAATACCTATATTTTCGTGAACAGAGATGGAAGAATTTGATTAGCAACCAAATTAGGGATGAAACAATCCAAAACAAGGTGGGACGAATGACAAATGAGCACCAAAGATTCCATAAGGTAGAACAATGCATAAAGTTAAATATACACTTTTTATTAATAGCTGAAAGTCTCTGGAGACACAAAATAAACTTCCTTCAAGAACAATGTCATCCAATAACTTCACAAGACATTCAATCTCTGCATCAATGCATCCTCCATGCCGCGATTCCCTCAGAACGAATGTTGAACACTTGGGTGGATGCATCTCTGGCAAGTTGGGAGTAGCACAAAATCATAAGCCACGAAGGGCCTCATCCCACTCACCTTAACAGAGGTCAGTAAAATTTTTGTATGTTCAGTTTAAACTTAGTCAAGTAGGAGGTATAAGATGGCATGGAAGGTTAAAGTATCCTTTAGAAGATCTTGATATGGCAAATACAATATAGTTATCCAAAACACTTCTTGCCTTCCCCAAAATAGTAAATCAACAAAACATGGTCAAAAGTTTCTTTCCAATAAGAAACAACAATTTTTTTTATCAATAATAGAGCTAAAAAAAAAAGGTAAAAAAGTGGTTTAAAGTCCAATCAAAGATGGACTAGTCATCCCACCCAATGAAGGGTAATAAAAAAGTAATAAAAAAATAAGCTGGAGCAATTAAACCAAATTATAATCTGAATTATGCTGGCCAACTCACCATAATGCTAGAAAGAGGGATGCTGCCAAAATCCTTTGTTACGGATGCCCAAAAAGAAACCAAGAAATAAAGCCTCTCCCATAAACAGGCTTGTCAATAATCCTGATTTTGATTTGAATCCGATGTAAACCCAAATCCATTTAACTAGATATGGATCAAATTTTCTTATCCATTTATCCGAATCTATTTAGACCTTTAGAATCCGATTCAGATTTGACACACATACTAATCTGATTCAGCAAAAATCCGATCCAACTTACACACACACACACATATATATATATTCATGAGACTCAAGGCATCCATCCCTATACACTTCCTTCCCACTTCACAAACAGAGCCTTTCCTCCTCCACCAACAATTCTGGACACACACTATCCTATCCCCAGTTACCCCTCCCCTCTCCCTTTCTCTCTCCCAATTGCTTCCTTCCCCTTCTCTCTCCCAATTGCTTCCTTTCCCTTTCTCTCTCTCTAACTCCCTTCCTCTTCTTTTTTCTTCTAACTTGGCCTTATGTGTCTCCCGCCTCTCTTCTCACCCTCTTCTTTTCTATTATGCTATCTCATATTTCTCTCTAATTTATGTAGTCCCCATATTCCTCTCTTCATCTTGACAAATACCAAGGTTTGGGTTTCATGAAAGGTTTTAATGGTTCTTCATCTTTACGATGAACTCAGCCTCAAATTGTGCAGAAATTCATGAGCAACATGAGCCCTAGTATTGGGGTTTAGTTCAACCTACATTTATGTGAATTTGAAGATGGCAAACTAGGGTCTTTGTTAGCTTGAAGAACTCAGCTCCTCCAAGTTTTTCTATTTTTTGTTTGGTTTTTCAAGTTGTTGATTTACAATGAGATTGAAGTAAAATTGAACATAAATTGTTTGGATTGAGTATTCAAACAGTGGAATTAGACTAAAGTTTACATATAAGTAGATTGGATGATTGTTCATTATTTGATAACATTTTGCTGAAATTCCACCGATTTGGATCGGATTATCGGACTGCATTTCCAATTATTAGCGGATTAGGATATGAATTACGATTTTGCTGAAATTCTACTGATTCGGATCGGATTTAGACTAGATATTTTTATTCGAAACAGATCAACTAAGATCCATACCGAATTCAAGTCATTGACAGACGTACCCATAAACACTCAACACTCAACTTTGTTCCATTTATCTTCAAAGATTCTCGATTTCTCTCTATCTGAAAACCTTAAACAGTGACCCAAAAAAAATAACAGTGTGAAACGGTCTTTCTTTTATTTCCTCACAAACCCATAAAGTCTAAACAAAGCATACTTAACATAGATTACGGACCCACCCAACAAAGGCTAACTAAATCAAACAATTTATTTTATGTGAATGAAGCACATGCTATGAAACATGGATATTTTGATCAGAGTGACATATCCGTATATGTATCGAATACTGACACTCGTCAGATACTCGCAGATACGTATCGAATACTTTCTATATGTATCCAATAATTAATAAAATATTCATCATTGTTGGATACTTGTTGTATACACGCATCTCTACGATGGATACTTTCTCCTTTTACTTAGTGAGGTGGGTTGTTTAGAAACATGAATCATACACATAGGGATTCCTTGTTCCAAGACGTACATTTGGATGTGCATTGCATGTCACCTGATTTGTCAATTCTTTACAATTTTTCCAAATAATGAGTTTTTATGGCTTCTATCAAAGCTAATGAAGTTATTGCAATTTTTTTAAAGCAAGTTATTACAATTAAATGCTAAGTNAAATAATGAGTTTTTATGGCTTCTATCAAAGCTAATGAAGTTATTGCAATTTTTTTTAAAGCAAGTTATTGCAATTAAATGCTAAATAAAAATTGAGAACTCTCGAAACGTGACACATGTTCAACTATAGAACTACGTAAAACATTGGATTCAAACACCATTAAGCAATCCCCGTGTAAACAAAATAAATTGTTTAGTTTGAGAAGTGTTTTATATCTTAATCATTCATATCCTTAATATTATACTAGCATCCTATTTTATATAGATATAAAGATATATATAGACGTATCCTAATCGTATCCGTATCCTACTTTTTAAGTTTTTGCATCCATAAATCGTATTCATATCCGTGTTTTCTAGAGCAGAGGACAATACAAGAATACACGATCCATTCCACACTCTCACCATCCCTTNATCTTAATCATTCATATCCTTAATATTATACTAGCATCCTATTTTATATAGATATATAGATATATATAGACGTATCCTAATCGTATCCGTATCCTACTTTTTAAGTTTTTGCATCTATAAATCGTATTCATATCCGTGTTTTCTAGAGCAGAGGACAATACAAGAATACACGATCCATTCCACACTCTCACCATCCCCTCTACACAAACCACACTATTGTGGTAAAAGACAAGTCATAGGTCTCCTTTCAAACCAATCATTGGTAATAGTCTTGCAACTATGCATGTACAAATTTGCATCTTTATAAGAACTTTGGTTTTCATAGATTCATATTAGTATTCACAAGAAACGACACCTAAAAAGATCACTAATTCAAATTTTTTTATCCAAAGACTTTTGGGACAATGAAACACTATTGAGCATAAAAAGAAGTAACAAAAATTCTGAATAAGAGACTAAAAAAGAGTAAAATGTTATCAAAGATGGAATAAATTCTCCATGATAACAAGAAATACGATAAGACAAGGAAATAGACTAGAAAAAAAAGGCTCCCTCCTCCAATAATCTATCCAAAAATGAACTCTTGCCCATTTCCCATATGGAACTTCGCCCACTTAGAAAAGCTTGGACACACCTGAGAAATGAATTACTATGTACTCCAAAAATTATTCCTTTTAACCTCATTTTCAACCCCATTAGCATCCCACCTGTTAGCCTGTAAATTATATATGCTCCTAATAACCGCATGTCATGGTGAATCTTGCTCCAAAGAAAATCTCTAAAATAATTTTAAGACTATATTCTGTTTCAACAGATTCCCCAGCGAAAGCCTGTGCCCATAACTTTAGGCCTAGACTAGGGATGTCAAACGTCTCAAATTAAACGGTTACGTGTCGGGTTAAACGGGGTGACGTTTGAAAAATATGTAAACCCGTACACAACATATTTAATAAACGGGTGAAAAATCTCAATACGAACACAACTCGTTTAATAAACGAGTAATACGATACGGCTCGTTTAACCCGCTTAATTTTAAAAAAAAATTATATCAACAAATTTTAATACACCACTTTTTTTTACTGTCAATTGTATTTATCTCAAAAAAGAGGAATTTCTAGCAAAATTTCACATAAAAATCAGATTTAAAAGCTAAAAAAAAAAAAAAGCAATAGGCCACTGTCTTTTATAGGCAAGGCAGCCCTCCTCATCTCTCCTTATTTGCCGATGTGGGATAAAAACAAAAGGGGTTGGTTTGTCTTTGTCATGAACTGCTTCCATCTCCCCTTTTTTGTCTTTGAACTACTACTTTACTTCTTCTTTTTTTTGTATTGATTTCTTTACTTTTTTATTGGCTAATTTTTAAAAATAATTATTAATTTATCATTATATTAATTTTATTTAAACGGATAAATGTGTGATAAACAGTTTGACAGGTCTCACCCGAACACAACCCGTTTATTAAACGTGTCTGGTGGGTCAACCCGTTTACCATTCAAACCCGCTTACTTCGTGTCGGTTAATTATGTCGTATCGAATTTTGACAGGTATTGNAAAATTATTCCTTTTAACCTCATTTTCAACCCCATTAGCATCCCACCTGTTAGCCTTTAAATTATATATGCTCCTAATAACCGCATGTCATGGTGAATCTTGCTCCAAAGAAAATCTCTAAAATAATTTTAAGACTATATTCTGTTTCAACAGATTCCCCAGCGAAAGCCTGTGCCCATAACTTTAGGCCTAGACTAGGGATGTCAAACGTCTCAAATTAAACGGTTACGTGTCGGGTTAAACGGGGTGACGTTTGAAAAATATGTAAACCCGTACACAACATATTTAATAAACGGGTGAAAAATCTCAATACGAACACAACTCGTTTAATAAACGAGTAATACGATACGGCTCGTTTAACCCGCTTAATTTTAAAAAAAAATTATATCAACAAATTTTAATACACCACTTTTTTTTACTGTCAATTGTATTTATCTCAAAAAAGAGGAATTTCTAGCAAAATTTCACATAAAAATCAGATTTAAAAGCTAAAAAAAAAAAAAAGCAATAGGCCACTGTCTTTTATAGGCAAGGCAGCCCTCCCCATCTCTCCTTATTTGCCGATGTGGGATAAAAACAAAAGGGGTTGGTTTGTCTTTGTCATGAACTGCTTCCATCTCCCCTTTTTTGTCTTTGAACTACTACTTTACTTCTTCTTTTTTTTGTATTGATTTCTTTACTTTTTTATTGGCTAATTTTTAAAAATAATTATTAATTTATCATTATATTAATTTTATTTAAACGGATAAATGTGTGATAAACAGTTTGACAGGTCTTACCCGAACACAACCCGTTTATTAAACGTGTCTGGTGGGTCAACCCGTTTACCATCCAAACCCGCTTACTTCGTGTCGGTTAATTATGTCGTATCGAATTTTGACAGGTATAGCCTAGACATAAAATCTCAACTACTCAAATGAACCTTCTTCCCTTCTCTACTTCCTTCTCAAGAAATCCCTCATCATCCCTTCAATCCTCCTTAACAACAAACAAGGCATCTAAAGAGAGATAAGAAGAAAATAGGGATGCTTGCCAACACAGACCGACATAACTCTAACCTTTCCCTATTTCCTTAATGGCAAGATCCCACACAATTATAAACATCAGGTTACCAATACAGGTAGACCTAAATACTTCGAAGGTCAATCACTCACAATGCACCCTAAATCCCAAGCCAATTTCTTAATTTTCTCCTGACTCATTAATCCCTACAATCAGCATTTTTCACGTTAATCTTTAGCCCATAAACCAAGCCAAACACATCAACAATATTTTTAAAACTTTTAAATTTCTCCTCATCTCTTGAAGAAAATAAAACCGTGTCATTGACTAATTGAAAATGTGAAACCGAAATTCTCTCCCTACCAATCGCATAACCCTCAACCAATTTACAACCATCCACCCTCTCCATTAATATGCTCAAATCCACCACGCTTTGATCCTGCCCTTGGGTTTACCATTTAAAATAGCTGGGCGATTCATTAATCCCAAACATCATTTAATCCATGTCCACCATCTATCTCCAAAACCTTTTGCTCCCATTGCAAAATCCAAAGAAAACCAATCCACCTCCTTGTATTGAGCACAAATTTAGACTCTTAAGAAGANCATCTATCTCCAAAACCTTTTGCTCCCATTGCAAAATCCAAAGAAAACCAATCCACTTCCTTGTATTGAGCACAAATTTAGACTCTTAAAAAAATAGATTCCAAATTTCCAAGAAGCTATGGATACCGCTTTCCAAATCTGCCCAAAAGGAAAAAGAAGCTCCATATTCCATCCTTTAGGTAGAACTATGTTAAGCCCATTAAGAGATAACCTTATTAGAACACAATCCTTTTGATTCACACAGCCAATAAAACTTAAAAGCAACCTAACACAACCAAGAATGGGTGCATTGAAGTCCTTAAGATCAAAATTAAGAAAATTACTTGAGTTCTGTTGCCACCAGAAAAAAGAATATTTAGATAATTAGCCTTCTCTCTCGATAACCTATTAAAAAAAATTTGAAACTTAAAAACTAAATAAATTATTGGTTACATGCTAAAAATAACAAGGGCATAGGAGAAACACTAGTATATGCCAATGCACATTGAAATATATGTCAAATTTCACGTGATTAGCAAAAAAAATCCACCGACAACACGTATGAGAGATTTACAATTGTTGAGGCATGAACATTTGCTCATCTCTACCTCAGAAAATTTGGGGAGCAACTGAGAGGATGCAAGCCTCTGAGGCTGCATCAGAGATTTTTCTTATGCCTCGAATGGGCAGCTGCAAAGCCTCAGTCTACATTCTCGTAGTTTGCATATCAGAACCCAACAAATGATTACTGAAGCAAGAGCAAAGAACAAAAGTGCTTCAAATATTCATCACTCAAACCAGTGTATAGGTCAAAAACTTAATGAAACAATGCCACAATTTGTAGAATTCCTCCATGCAAAAGCAACAATGAAAAAAGAGGAAAAGAAAGCAAGCATGTGATGAGAAGGAAACTATACATCAGTTGCTAAACCAGTAATGTGAAACAAATGTGTTAATACAAGTATGGTTGGGCTCTGAAGAAACCAATTACAGCTGACAAATGAGGATGGATCTCTCACATACTGAAAGTACAATAAGTTACATGACCTAAATGAAAACCTTAGAACTCTGAACAAACCTAGATATTCCTTGAGGCAGGGGTGTCGCAGTTCTATTTGCTTGATTTTGCTGGCCACTGGAAAGATTTTGTTCATGGACCTGGCTGACATGATGTTGGGACGGTTGAACTTGTTGTGGTTGCTGCTGCTGCTGCACATTGGGGGACTCTCTTGTTGTCGGGTTCACAACTTGATCGACACTTGTACCCTGTGGAAGCTGAGATCTATCTGTTTGTTGCGGATAGTTCCGGTTTTGGAAGAACCTATTTGAGTTAGCATAATTGTGGGAAATAAGATGCTGAATTTTCTGAAGGACTTCTTCCACCGGGGGTGGAGGCCCAGGCAGCTTTGCATGCCTATACCGGCAATCAGGACCATTTGGGCAAAACCCCAATTTGTACCTGAAATAATTAAAATGTCAATCAAAAAATACATCAATGCTCTAACGCCAACTTCCCTACCATACATCAAATTTTCTAGGTCACACCACCTACAACAAATAATTAATAAATTTTGCATACAAAGTGGCAATTTAAAAGATCTCAATTATTAATGTCAGAAAATTTATTGTAATTGGCAAATTTTGTAGGCCACATGTATTTGTACCTCAACTAAATCCATGATCATGATGCTATGAAAAATTGAAGATAGAGTAAGATGTGATAAAGAAACTCAAGTTACATTGTAATTATAATTGAAGACTTCTTGAAATCCATCGAGCTTGGGTGAGGTACGAGGCCTGGATAGCTAGTTAACCTAGTTTGTTTTAACTTAGTTGTTAAAGATAGATTTAGATATTTTATACTTGAATTTGTAGCATGACACCTGGATTGTTATTGAAAAACTTCTTTGAAACTAGAAATGTTGGTTTTGAAATATTATAAGAGTCATGCTATGAAGCCTTATTAAGTAGCATCCCTTGAACTCAAAAAGTTAAAGAGAGCATCGGCTTTAGGTATTAACCATCTCTCTAAGCACTCTCTGAGGGCTCCAACAGTTGAGGAAAATATATCAAGATCAAGTTCCAGTAGCCACTACTCTCTGAGCGCCTGAGCAGTGTGTAGTTGTGTTAGGATTTCTCGCCCAATTAATCTTTGTTTCCCCACCTATAAAAATGGGATGATTATTTTTTACCTTAAGGGGTTTTACCAAACTAGAAAAAGAGAGAAAAGGCTAAAGAAAAGAACTCTAGCCTCCCATGTATCTACTTGATCAATCTAGAGTTATTTCATGAATCAACCTAGACCTTGAGATTGGTCTTTTAGAACACCCAAAACCTTAAGAATTGTAGATCTAAGGTGTATTCTAAGGATCAAAGGAGAATTCCAACAAATAAAAGAGGAGGATTCCAAGGCGGACCGTGGATTTTGGTTCATTGCCTATAAGCTATTGTTTAAGAGCTCGCGATGGATCCCGGGGGTCAAAGGTTCAAGTTGAGAAAGTGTCTAACCATAGTATTGGTTGAAGTATAAAACTTTGAGGCTTGTAATCCTACATCCTGTATTTTTCTTAGAAGGGTTTCCACTTTCCACATAAAATTGCTTGTGTTATGGTTGTGTTGTTCTAAATTTTCTTTACACACTTGCAATTTTACATTCCTCATGTGTTTGCTATAATGCTTGAATGAGAATCTCCTAGTGGGTGTTGAATTAAAATTGGTGATTTAAATTTTAATTCTTCAATTGATTGGATAATTGGCTCAATTTTGGGGATTGTAGTTTAATTGAATATATCAATTGATAATTGGAGTAAATTAAATTTTATTTGGGAAAGTAATTATGCGTTGAGTGCTAAGACAAATTCACTCTCCCTCTCAGTTTGAAGATTGGAGTCGATCCAGTCACACTTTGAGTCTCAATTACCATAAAAACACAATTATTATATNTTATGCGTTGAGTGCTAAGACAAATTCACTCTCCCTCTCAGTTTGAAGATTGGAGTTGATCCAGTCACACTTTGAGTCTCAATTACCATAAAAACACAATTATTATATCTTTCTGAAGAATGTGGCAATTTAGAATATCTCATTGACATTCATAACAGATATGCATATTGTCCATGTGAACAAAGCTCCTATTTATAAAACTAAACACACAAGTATAACTCATAAGAAAATAATAATAGGAAGAAAAGTACTTGACACAATATACGACGGAGCAAGGGGGAAAAGATAAAAAGATGACACTCAAGAAATCAATCATGATCTATTTCCGGATTGAGGCAATTGACAACATAAATGAAGAAGAATAATGCATTCCTCCATATTGCATTGCCTAAGACACGTACAAAACAACACAAAAAATTCAACATACAACATGTAGTTTATAAAAATTGAGTACAATAGTAGATTTCGAATTTATTGGGTAATGAAGATAAAGTTCTAAAAACTCCAAGCAAGTCAGGAAATAACATATTGGTAGGGTGTCAGCCCAAATGGGTTCTCTAACCAAAGCACCTAAGCTTTAACTTAATATATACACTTCCAAGCTCATATGGAAACCCATAATACAATTTGCACTTTAGACAAAGGAGAACATAAACAATTGAATATGTTCCAAAGCTTTTTCCATGCAACAAATCTAAGTTATAATTTATAACATTTCAACATGTAAGAGAAACATGAGTCAGCTCCAACAANTAGGGTGTCAGCCCAAATGGGTTCTCTAACCAAAGCACCTAAGCTTTAACTTAATAAATACACTTCCAAGCTCATATGGAAACGCATAATACAATTTGCACTTTAGACAAAGGAGAACATAAACAATTGAATATGTTCCAAAGCTTTTTCCATGCAACAAATATAAGTTATAATTTATAACATTTCAACATGTAAGAGAAACATGAGTCAGCTCCAACGANTCACTTCATGTATCCAATGATAGCGAATATCAATATGCTTCGTCCGGGAATGGTACATTGAGTTTTTACTCAAGTCCAGAGCACTTTGACTATCACAATGCACCTTGTATTCCTTCTGCTTAATACCTAGTTCTTAGAGAAACCGCTTTAACCACAACATTTCCTTACCAGCTTTCGCTGATGCAATATACTCTGCCTTTGTCGTGGATAAAACAATGCACTTCTGCAACCTTGACTACCATGACACAGCTCCTCCTGTAAAAGTGTACAGANAGTTTTTTACTTTTCTGATTTAGCATGATAACAACTCGAATGAAATTTCTATTCTTTCAAGAGAAGGAACCGAGATCCTACCCATCATGGCCTAATCATGTATACCAAGGCTTGATACAAGTGTGAGACAATAACGAATAACCTTTTCTTCCCTACTCCATCGACCTTCATTCCAATCTTACCAAGCTAACTTACCCTATTAGTATAGTGTCTACTAACTGAGTCGTTGCATTAGATTAGATCGCCTTATGGCGAATGCAATTAGGAGTTGTCGAAAGGACCGGAGATACTATGTATCAAGACTCGTGATAGGAGCTGAGTGCTCATTCATTCAATATTTTTATGGGTGGTTTATTTTTCCTTATAGAAGAAAAAAAAAGGTATGACAAGAAACACCATTCAACCGATATTTCAAAGACATAAACATAGTACCAGTTACACATCTAATCTTTGAGAAAGTCGGGTTCTTTTCGCATAATAGCATCAACCAAAGATCGAAGCATCTTCGCAGACACAAGAGAGAAATTCCTAGTTAATTTGTCACTTCAAAATCTTTTGGCAAACTATAAAATATGACAAATAATAGAAGAAAAAAATCTTTGAAATGGGATACTTTTCTTTAGATATAGCATTTTTGAGCACAAGGAAAAGGCAGTGACAAACACGATAAGTTGTGCTTGGTCACCAAACTTTGAAAAAAAGATTCAGCAAGTAACCCCATGCAAGGGTTGATACCTCTAATCCTATCAAATAAAGGTTGAAGTTTGGCTTAGTTTCTGGGTGTAGTTCAGAGATAAAAGAAAGGCCATGATAATTGTTTCGGTGTTGGGTTCTATTCTTGTTTTGATTGCAAAGAACCTCACTTACATATCAATATGTTATTGTCATTACACCTTAAAACTAGTGTCAATATTGTATTGTCCTTATCTTCTTACCAAAGTGCGCTAGCGTTTTAGTTTTAGCACTTGTTCCTTTATTAGGGGATCAAGACTTTAGTAAGTAAGCTTTTTACATCTCCTCAATAAAAGTTGAAAGGTTTCTTTACAAAGATTCTAATATAAGGTGCGTTCGCATTTTACTTTGATTACTCGTTAGCACTTTAGTTTCAACAAGGAAGGATATTTAGGCTTTACTAGTACGATATAAAGGGCTTTTTCGTCATGTTCGCAAGTTTAGAACTTTTTACTTGCATTCAAAGGTCTTGCTTGCGTTATCAAGTAACGTGCTTAACTTCCCAAGAATGACTCGATGGATAAGATAGAGAACAAAAGTGGCTGGCGACGAGGTAGAGCCGATGGAGCGAAGCTCACACACACCAGCTGATGGAGGGTGAGATCACATTCACTTGCTGCCATGCTCCATAGTAAAAAAGTGGAAAGTAGGTCTGCCCCCATAACCGCACGAGAGGGTAACAAGATTCAAACTGGATGGGCACGCTTTTTTGAGAACAATTTTTCATTCAATTTGAAAGCAGGTTCGTGATTCCAAGCCTAAACAAGGAAAGCCCAAAAAAGCACGCTCTATTAACTGGTGCAAACAACAAATGATCCCCCAAATTAATCAAATTTATAAAGAGGCACATCCTCAATCGAACTGATAACATAGACAAAACCAAACAACATAAATAAAACAAAACAAACAAACAGCAAATAGCAAAAACTACTTGGATACTCCATAATTGAGACCAATCAAATTTAAGGGGAGGAATCTCTACGTTTCCCCAACACAGTATAACCCAATATCTTATCTGTAGAATTAAATCCAAACCTACCAAACTTCCCAAGAGCACAACACTGCCAAACCACCAGGTTAAGACCAAAAACAAAATACCATAATTAACAGAATAACTGGCATACAAGAAAGACATGCGCAAAGACAAAAAGGAAAAGTGAAACAGAACATACATATTACACTCCTTGATATCTTCATTTGTGTGCTTATACACACAATCCTGCTCTCTACATTCCCCATAAAGCCGGAAAAACCGGCAGATCGGCATTCGAGACTTGTCGTACTGGTGGAGGAATCCACAGGCATCCCCTTTCATACAGAGGCCTCGGAGCCAGTGCCGGCACACGGTCTGCCGGAAACTCCGTCTGTTATGCCCAGCCGCATGGTCGGTCGCCGCCGGCGGGGCGGAGTTATTGACGACGGCGGTAATGGGTACATTATCCGATTGGATCACCGGGACGGAGGCGGTGGGGTGAGTGGGCGCCGTGTCAAGGTTGCCCTCAAAGTCGAAGCTCAGACCCCCTTCTCCGTCGTCCATTGATAGATGTAGATATGTATTTGTATATGTTTATACTCTGTTTTGTGCTTTTGGATGGTTTTATGTGATTCGTTTGGGTCTACGGAGAGAGAGAGTCGACACAGGGGTTTTATGTTGAACCTGAGGGGACGAAAGTAATGTAAAATAGGAAGCAGTGTAGGAGGGTGTGCATGGCAAAAATGGAAAAGGTTAAATTATTAAATTATTATTAATAGATAGTATAAGTTTAATTTTGTGTGGGTTCAAATAAAAACATAATCAAGTAAATGATACATCAAACATAAAGAAAGGTCCAAAACTATGTTGTTGCAATTTCGATTGCGTGGGTAAATTTTGTTAAAAGAGTTAAAAGAGTAAGTTCAAATCAACGTTGCCTACAACAAAATTAAACAAAAAGTTAGTAAATGTTTGACTCACAAGTGTTGGCTAAATGATGACTTGTTATATGCTAAGGGAGGGAGTCTCAATGTCTTAAGCGGAGAGGGTCTAAAGCTAGAGTTGATGCAGAAAACACATGACTCTTGACAGCTTGGAATGGGTAAAAAACTTATGCTGTTGTCTTGTTTGTAGATTTACCTAATATTGATTCAAGGTGGAAGATGGCGTCCAGGCATATGTGAATAGTTGTCTAGTTTACCAACTTGAAATTGCGAAGTAGGGCTGTCCATGGGCAGGGCTAAGTTTGGCCCGTGAATTTTTTTTTCGGGTCAAACTTGGGTAGTATAGGCCCAAGCCCGTACTTAGGCGAGTGGCGGTCCGGGCTCAGGTAGGGGTAAGTTGTCTGTAGCCCAGTTCGTCATCTATTGGGCGGGCTTGATTTGACGGGCTTTTACAGGCTTGTTTGGGCGGGCTTTGTTGGACCTATTGGAAGCGAACTATTTTAAGTTATGGTGGTCATTTAATTATAAAAATTGGTTGAGCAAATTTAAAAAATTAAGTTGTAATAAGTAATTTAATGTAATATTGAACATATTCGTAGCATTGATAATCGATACAAATAAAATGGCTTCTAGTATTACCAATAAATATAACTAAAGAAGATTTATTAAAACTAAAACATAAAAGAGAATAAAATGAAAAGTAAGGGTTTGATAATATTATCCAAATTATATTGAAATAAATCTTATATTAAATAAGACTCTAGTGCATTTATGCAATTTCATTTGAAAATTCAGAAACTTGTCATCAATTAATGAAAATAGATAGAAATAAATAATAGTAAATTTAATTATTTTAACAATTCATTTTTATCTTTTAAAAGAAAGGATATGAAAGGCTTGACTATGTGTAATATTAATGAAGTTTTATTAATATAAATTCCATATTAATAATGTTAGTATTGTGAGAGTCAAGTTGTCCAATTAAAAGTTTAACATCAATCTAGTATTATTAAAATGAGTTCTAAATTAAATAAGGCTAGTATTGTCTTTATATATTATGTTTAGGGTTAAAGTAGTCAATTAAATTTTTTTCTAAATAATGTACTTTTATTAGTAGTATAGATATAGATATAAATATGTATATTATATATATATATGGTATGTGGGCTTCGGGTATTGGGTCGGGGCTTCGATATTTCGGGCCAGGCTTGGGGGGCGGGTAGTGGGTTTAGGGGTAAACCCAAACCTTTTCTTAAAGGATATTGGGCTCGGGTTCAGGGCCGGCCAACTATCGGGCTTATCAGGCCTATTTTTTTGTTCCGGCTGGGTAACGGGACTCGTGGGTAACCCGGTTCATGGACACCCCTAGCAGTAAGCCTCTCCAAACTTTAATTGTAATTTGTTGAAGGTGAATAGCATACAGTTGATTCTGGTTATGGTGGATTGATTTTTTAAGTACGTGGTATTCATTTCTCCATCACGTGTTTGTCCCGCTGAAGTTGTTGTAGAATAATTCTATAAGAATGTTGTTAAGTT